ATCTTGTGTAATCATAAGTTTCTTTACTCACATATCTTTTTCCAGTATCACATTAGACTATTTTTAAAGTTTTACAAAATTTATTTTCAACATTTACATAATCAATACAATAATCAATAGCGTGTGATTTTGGCTTAATACAATACATTATTATACATTCATTGTATTCATCTGTAAAAGTTAAATATTAAGTCTATTTTAATCAGTGTGAATAAATTTTAATATTTTTTAGCCTTCTTCCTATCATTTTGAAATAGAATATTTATCAATTTACTTTAAGTACAATTGGCACATTTTATTTCGATCTTTTTTAGTTTATCTGGGATCCCGTTTAACATTTTATTTGTAACTAAGTTATTTCAATATTAAAAATTTATGTGGCCGAATTCTCTATGATATTTTTCTTTTATATCTTTTCACTCTTATACTCAGCATATGATGTGTCAAAGTTATTTGACATTCGTCACGAGGAATGCTGAATAAAAAAAATTATTAACACTATTCATGAACTTTCCACTCTTATCGTTTTTTTTTTAGAAAGATTTTCATTTGACATGAATTTCCTTTTACTTTAGCCGTTACTATTAATTTCAAATTAGTTATCTTATATATTTACGTCACTGGTGCTCCGTAAGTGAAAATTGTCGCCCACTACGTGGGCAGGATTTTTTACTTCCCGAGCTCCAGGAGATGTAAAATCGTATACGCACCACTTTCGGAGGTTAAGAAATGCCCTAGATTTCACATTAACCGCTCTTGGCTTCGCCTCGGGCCTTAATGCATATGAAATCTGCGACATTCTTAATCTCGCTCACTAGGTGCGTAATGTACTATTTCGCAGAATTATTTACTGCTACTGAACTACTTTTTCTGGTTATTGTTAAGAAAATCAGTACATTGTTTGGTTTTACTGTAGATTTGTTTTAATTTAAAAAAAAATACAAATTTAATTTTACTAATTTTAAAGCTTTTAATTTATAAGCATTAGGTAGACTTAAATGAAGGCTTTGGGTATACTATATTACTAGGTTTTTTAGAAATTATAAATTTTTCCAAGTGTCTATCTATATAGTATGATCCATACAAATACTACCTAACAGCTAAATTCACGTTTTTTCTATGTCACAATTATTTGTTTCGTTGACCTTATTTTCTTCACATTGTGACACATTAGCTGGGAATTAGAACAGCAGCAACTCGTAGTAGCATATAGCTATTGAAATTGAATAGCCTTTTTTCATTAACAACACTCACCAAGTCACTACGTTACTGCAACTGTAGTTAGCGCTACTCAGGGCGATTAAAGAGAACAACACAACGTTGTATCAATATGAGGTATATTTACTTTAGTAAGCGACTAGGTTACAAATAAAACAGGGGCTCACCACAAAGGCGATGATTCCTATTGTTGAAGCTTGCTGTCGTGAACGCAATTCGTTGTAAAATAGGTAATCCTTATGAAGTAACTCACAGTAGGGGACTTGGGTAGACTCTATTACATTCAGGTTAGGTAAATAGAAATGACTACTTATGCAGGACACAATACACAGTATTAACACGATATATTTAAAACTACCGGGATTTTTCCAGTGAAGCTTTCTATTAGCTTCCTCAAATATGCTGTCTGTGTTTGGAGCACTAAGAGTCGATGTGGCCCTGTGTAGACATGCTAGTGTTTATACAGCTGTGAACTCAGTTGGGGTGGCACACAGTTTTTCATCTGGTGAGACTCTGCTGACGCCACGCCCACGGTGCTGTTTGCAGCACATCACTTTGGATTGGCCACCATTGTTGTTCTACCTCTCGGTACTTCGACACACTAGTAGCTGCAGTTTACACATCCATACTTTCAACAGAACAAATAAATTCTAAGGGTACAGGTGGGAAGTACAGTACAGCAAGAGATTCAGAGCAAGCCCTACAGTTACTTTTAATGTTATAGCCTCTGGGCCTTTCACCAAACTTTCGCCAATAACAGTAAGCCACACGAAGGAGAGACAACTAACTACAGGGAACTCTTCTGCTGACTGATGGTGACAAAGGCTCTGCTCTTGCCTCTATGTTGTCCTCTTTTTTGACTTCTGCTTTGTTGTAGATTCCTGGATTATGTGAAATGCTGTGTTTGGATGATGGACTTGCCAAATATCTTCTACCATTTGTTAAGTTTTTCTACAGGTATAACATTGGCCTTTAATTCTTGCAGAGAAAGTACTATAACTATTTTTCTTTTCACTTTCTGATTTTGATAAATTATTTTTCTTTATGTTTAATTTTACATGGTCTACTGTCCTTTATTCTTCTGAGATCACATTAATACAATTTTCAATATAGCTGTAAGTTGATGGTAGTGCTTCCAGTAAATATCTCATTTTTTCAGCCTATGCTAGCTATCTACCAAAGAATCGTTATTTTGTAGCTTTACTTTTTATGTTACTTTTTTAAAATATATGTTATACACTGGATCTTATGACATGTATTTTTTCAAATTGCTGTATCATCTATGAATGATAAGGTTTCAAACTCACTCATACATACTAATTGTTGGTTTGATATGCTACTTAGTAAAATTGTTTTGGCTTTTAAATCACTTGATTTCAAGCTCTTATTTTATTTTTATCTGCTTCTTCTCTCATTGCTTGTTGTTTATAGTCTTTGAATTCAAGCAGCATCCGCAACCTGAATTTCCAGCTTTTAAAATATTCTCTGTTTTTTACTGAAATTGTCACATTAAATGTCCTAAGTTAATTTTTACAAGCTACCAAAGCAGAATGTTAAAAGTCACAGAAAAAGGAACCAGGCTTAGCTACTATGTTGAAAGTGTCAAATGACTAGGCATTAAATTAGTGTTCGAATACATCATTAATATATGTATTTTGAAAAGAAATTAGATTACTTTATCGTAAATACAGTGATGTTACTTAAGTTTATGGTGAATAATACTGGTTTCTACCCTTAACTTTATAGTCCATTGTCCGGAGACTAAAAAAAAACGATTTAATCTTACGTTTTTTAGTAAAGAAAAATATATCATTCTCCTACAGAACTTCCCCAGGAATACAAAAAAAATGGTATTGTTCCAATCAAAAGTTGAGTTGATTTATTTAATAATTCATAAAAGAATGACAGTTTTTAACTTAGCTTTTTGCTAAAATCATCCCTTTGATTGCTCTTAGAAAAATTTTTCGACCAACACTCTCTTCGCCACCAAATTTTCTATTAAATTGACTTTTTTTAAATTTATTTTCAATTTTTGATAACATGTTAATAGCAAAAAATGCGAAAATAATTTTTGATTTCTTAAAACTTTGAATCGACGTAAAAAAAACTATTATGTAAATTTTTACATAACCATAAAGAAATATAGATATAAAGCTGTATTACAAATAGCTGTTTGTAAAATTGCATAATAATTAATAGTTCTTGATTCATAAGTTTTTGTAAAAGAAACTTGGAAGAAATGTTACAAACTTTACGGTTGGTTTATCAACACTTTCTATTGTTAAAAATATTGTATTTAGTGTTAGTAATGAAAAAAAATTTTAAAAATGCTTTTTGCAAATTCTGACGTTTTGCTACCCAAAATTGTATCTTTCAACTCAAACAATTGCAAATATCTCAAAAAATTCTGCATACTTTTTTTCCAAACAAAAATCACTGTATTTGTCTTGAAAAAAAAACATGCTTTAGCTCATACAGAAGCCAAGATGTAAGAAACCGGTATTTTATGCAATAACGGTCTGATTGAAATCTTTATGGCGAAAAAAATTTGTGAATCGTCATAATATATTCCTGCACCACACTGCCAAAGCACTTTACTAGTTTTATTGAATCAGATGCTCAAAAAATCAAAAAAGTCATAATGTAACAGCCCGATTAGCAAATTTGGAAATACTATAGGCCCAACCTTCCTGACGTGGAAAATTAATAGAATATAAATATTAGAACGTTGTGACTACACTAGACAGAACTCACAACGTGCAAAAATTTGAAACTACTAAATTAATACCACAAGTGCCTATCACCTAATTACCCAGGGCACTTATTGGCCACTCTAATAAATAATAATTTGTTTATAAATAACCCAAGCACCTATCACCTGATGATCCGGGGCGCTTACTGGCCACACTAATAAATAATACGTTTTATTCAATAAAACCCAATCGCCTATTACCTGACGACCCAGGGCACTTACTGGCCACTTTCATAAATAATAATTTGTTTATCAATAACCCAAGCGTCTATCACCTGATGATCCGGGGCGCTTACTGGCCACACTAATAAATAATACGTTTTATTCAATAAAACGCCTATTACCTGACGACCCAGGGCACTTACTGGCCACTTTTATAAATAATAATTTGTTTATCAATAACCCAAGCGTCTATCACCCGATGACCAGGGGCACTTACTAGCCACTCTAATGAATAATACATTTTGTTTAAGAATAACCCAAGCACCTTTCACCCAATGACCTAGGGCATTTACTAGCTGATGGGGTGATAGGTGCTTGGGTTATTAATGAACAAATCCTTATTTGTTAGAGTGTCTATGCGTCCAATAACCCATGCGCCTACCAGCGGATATCATCGGGTGAAAGGTGCTTGGGATATTATTAAACAAAATGTATTACTTATTAGAGTGGCTAGTGAGCACTCCAGATGATCAGGTGATAGGCGCTTGGGTTATCCATTAACCAATATTAATTTATCATAGTAGCCAGTAAGCACTCCGGGCCATCGGGTAACAGGTGCTTGGGTTATTACTAAACTAATTATTATTTATTAGAGTGGCCAGTAAACACCCCGAATCATTGGATGATAGGCACTTGGGTTATTATTAAACCAAATGTTTTATTTATAAGAGTGGCCAGTAAGTGCCCTGGGTCATCGGGTAATAGGCGCTTGTGTTGTTATTGAACAAAATGTATTATTTATTAAAGTGGCCAGTGAATGTCCCGGCTTATTGGGCCATAGACGCTTTGGCTATTAATAAACAAATTACTATTTATAAGACTGGCTAGTAAGCACCCATTGGTGTCGGCTGCCAATGACACGTCGGAGGTGTCCCTTTATGGACTTAACGCCGGCCTCCCAGAGACCGCCAAAGTGAGGAGCTCCAGGCGGAATGAAGCGCCAATCGATACCTTGGTTAGCCAGGGTCCCAGCAATGAGCTCGCCCTCCAGCTTGACCTGCTGCAGTGCTTCCCGGAGTTCGTGGTCAGCTCGACAAAAACAGGTAGCGTTGTCGCTCCATAGCTCGGATGGACGGCCTCGGTGACCAAAGAAGCGCATGAGAGCAGCCAAGAACGAGGCAGCAGATAGATCATCAACCAGCTCGAGGTGCACGGCCTTCGTGGTCAAGCACATAAAGAGGGCGATGTACCCCTTTGAAGGGACGATGTATCCCTCGTCCTCTGGTGGCGAGTATGGCAAAGGGGCCTGCATAGTCAACCCCAGTACGACCGAAGGCGCGAAAGGGTGTGACCCTGGACCAAGGAAGGGGGCCATCTGTTGAGACGCAGGCCGTGCTCGCAAGCAAGCGCAAAGGAGACAATACCGCAAAAAAGTCTTGAGCCAACGGGTACCACCAATGATCCAGGTGCGTCTTGCAACGTAAGCGCTGGAGATCCTGAAATCTCCATACAACGCTCAAGAATGCGCCCAGGACAAGACGATGCGAGATAGGGTGCAGGAGCTGTGGATGATCGGAGGATGCTGCTCGTCGTAGATCAGCGCAGAGTGCTGAACCTGCCCGCCAACCCGGAGGACTCTATCAGTGTCAATAAACGCAGCAACGGAAGCTAGTGGATGATTTTTTGGTAAAGGACGCCCGAGTCGAAGGAGCGAAAGCTCCCTTGCAAAGGCGCGCTCTTGAATTAGACGAACACAGGCCAGGAACGCATCTCTTAGCTCCATTGCGGTCAAGAAGGGCGTCACTGGCTGGTCACGTGTCCAACCGAGGCGAGCACGAACCCATCGGTGCAAATGGGCAAGAACCCGGAGCAAGGTGCCAAGGTCGGAGAATCGATCGAGCAGATGGGCTTTGGGCCGCTGGACGACGCAGCAGGTTATAGGCGTCGATGGCCGTGTAACAAAATCCTCGTGTGGCCAACACTCCGGGCCATTCGACAGCTAGGCTGGACGATGCCACCACGAAATCTGTAGATGAAGTTGGCCAGCATCAGCGCCGTGGGACGTGACATCAGCTGGATTTAATGAGGTTGGCACGTAACGCCAGATGTTAGATGGTAGTAGCTCCTGGATTTGGGCAACATAGTTGTCGACCAAGGCATTTCCTGTGGGCTCCACGGAACGAAACCACCGCAGGTCAATTTGGGAGTCAGTCCACGCATGGCAGTTTTCGATAGGGACACCGAGCTCCGTTGATGTCAATTGAAGCAGCTTGGCTGCGAGTAGTGCGGCTCAGAGCTCAAGACGAGGTATCGTCTTCCGAGACTAGGGCGAAGAAGCTGGCTTTAGAGTTCAGATTGGAACGAGCTTGGTTTTAGCCAAAAGAATGTGGCAGCGCACTAAGCCTGTAGAGTCGGTAAGTCGAGAAAAAGTTACAGCTGCCATGGCGCGGCGGCTTGCATCGGAGATGGCGTAGAGCTGCAGATCTAAATCGAGCGACTAGCCAATCCAGCGTGGGATAGCAAATCCATGGATCGCCTGAAGCTTGGAGGCGAAAGCTGAACACCGGCGGACGATTCACGGTGGCACGACCTTATCCCACTCGAGTCCAGCGCGCCATAAATCCTGGAGCAGAAACTTGGCGTTCAGGATGGTAGGGGCCAGCCAGCCACACGGATCAAAAAACCGTGCCAGAGCGGCGAAAAATTTTCCGCTTCGTGTCTTGAGCCTGAACTCGGGGAGGAGTAAGACGGAAATGGTCTGAGGCTGGATCCCAGCTAACACCGAGTTCACTTACAAAACCATCAGTGGGTAGCTCTTGCCAAGTGAAGCGAAGGCGCTCTTCTTCTGGGAGGTCGTCTAAAAGCTCAGACACATTTGCTACCTATTTGCTCAACGGAAACCCTCCAGCTTGCAACAGGCAGATAAGCTGGTTTCGGAGTTCACGTGTGGCATCGAGGTTGTCAGGGCCGGATAGGATGTCATCTGCATAGCGATCATGCATGGCAGCAGTTGCAGCTCCAGGCCACCTGTGGCCTTCATCCTTGCACAACTGCTGGATGACACGCAGTGACAAGTAAGGCGATCAAGAAACGCCGTAAGTGACTGTGAGCAGCTGATAGTATGTAGACGGAATGCTTCGATCTGGGCTCCACACGATGCGTTGCAGGTCCTGAGGGTTAACTTGAATTTGGTGAAACATCATCGGGGCGTAGGTGCAGAACGCGAAGCGATGTCGACGCCAGCGTAGCAGAACCATTAGTAAGGCTGCCTAGAGCCTCGGCCTGGTGTGCAGGACATCGTTGAGACTGTAGCCACTCGATATCGCGTGCAAGGCATTAAAGACGACGCGCAGCTTTGATCCTCGATCCCCACGCTGCCAGATGCCATGGTGCGGGATGTAGTACACGGGACGAGTCGGCGTGGAGACCAGAGCATCGGACAATGGCCTCATATGGCCCAGCGCGACGTACTCATCCATGAATCGAGAGTACTCGATGGCCATATCTGGGTTCCGATGAAGGCGAGCTTGCAGGGACCTCAAGGATGCTCGGGCGCTCTGTAGACTGTCACCGAGGAGATGGAGGGCGTCCTGCTTCAAGGGAAGCCTTACTAAGTAGCAACCATCCTCGTCGCAACGATTGTCGGAGAAAGTCCGCTCGCATTCGATGTCAGCGGGCGCCTGACGGCGTGCCTGTGGGAGGTCTTCGAGCTCCCAAAAGCGTTGTAGTAGGGAGACAAGTTCTTGATGCCAGGCTAGGGCAGCTTCATCTCATAGGGTTGAGCAGGAGAGAACGGAGCTTGATGAGCGTCCGGGTGCCCGGCCTGTGAGAACCCAGCCCACGACTGTGCGCTGACAAATGATCTCACTATGCTGCATGGACTCGGGTTTCAGCAGACGAGGATAGACGTTAGCGCTGAGGAGAAGTTTAACCTCGCTCGGCTGATCGAAGGTGGGATCTGCGAGGTCAATGGATTCCCAAAACTGCCGGACTGATGGATCCAAAGATGTTGCAGGGGTGTAGAGCCCCAGGCGTTTCAGACACAGGGCTGACAGCGTGATCAAAGTAGTGTGGTCTCGTGGCACGAGGTTGAGCTGCACTCTCGCCATTGACCAGACAATAGGATGACCCCCGAGTCCAGAGAGGCTGATGGTAGACGCCTTCATTGGCGCCTCGAGTCGGCGAGACACTCGCGCTGACACTACGGTGACCTCAGAACACGGATCAAGGAGCGCTCTGACACTTACTGTGCATCCGGTGTGGCCACTGAGCTGAACAAGGGCGGTTGAGAGCACCGGTAGTCATTGTTGGGGCTTCGGGTTGCCATCGCCAGCTTCGGAGCGAGCCTTGTCCTCGCGCTTGGCGTGCTTTGCTGGGGTAGTATCGTTCTGGCGCTCCGCGTGATGCTTCTGCCCGTCATGAAGAAAGCTGTGGTGGGTGGCGCGGCAGTGTTGGCAGACGGATTTGGACGGACAATCTTTGATGGAATGTCCCCGCTTCAAACAATTGAAAGAGAGCCTTTCGTGGAATACGACGTTCTTCTTGGCCGTCGCGTTTAAGCCCTGGAACTCGCTGCAGTGGCCTAGATGATGAGCACCATAACAGGTAGGGCAGGTAAGCGAGCTTTCTTGAGTTGCAAGCGTGTGGAAGCTCCGGGCCGCTAAAGAGGGTGCCGTAGTACGTGAGCTGGAGGGTATAGGAGCGCGTGTTACGTGAGAAGCTTCAACAGACCGGAGAGTGCGACACTCGCAACGAAGGAAAGACGCCAAGACAGTAAACGTGACTATGTTAACTTCTAGCTCCGGGCTGGATGCCACAAGCTTCTCCAACTCATCCTCCCAGGCCCGTCTAGTCGATGGATCCAAGCTCGTGGCGGTGAGTGAGACGAACCAATCGTCCCAGTGGTCCACAGGGTGACCTAGAGCACGGAGTTGGTCTCGATGGCGCTCGAGGGTATCCAGCAGTGTCTGTAGACCTTCAGCGGATTCTTCCCATATGGGTTTGATGCTGCGCAACGCTGAGAGATGATCGTGCACAAGTAACCGATGGTGCTCATACCACGTCTCGAGCAGGCTCCATGCAGTGCTGTAGTTGGTGCCAACAGTCTGAACGGTGTCGAGAGCAGCCTTGGCGTCCCCTTGCACGAGCGACTTTAAATAGTAGAGGTGATCGACGTCGGTCAGTTGAGGCTCGTTGTGGACCAGGGCTTTGATCAGGTCGCAGAAGGACTCTCAGTCCTCCTGCTGACCAGAAAACTGAGGGATGCTGATGAAAGGCAGTATTGGCCCACGACGCTGAGTGAGATCGGTTGAAAAAGCCAGGAAATTAGGCGGCTTCAGCTGTAGGCGGCTACGGTGGTCGTAGATGCGGGACCGTGCAGCAATATAGTCGGTCTCAGCTGAGGCGTACACGTTACCCGCAGCATCTACCGTGGCGGTTGTGGCCGCTTCCAGCAGGGCTATATGGTTAGCCTGGAAGTCACTCCAATACTTGTCAAGAAGCTCAAGCCGACCTTCGACAAGACCCAGGGTCCACTGATTATCCTGGGTGTCAATGGCGGTCTGCGAGAATCGGGCGATGACGTTCCCGAGTGATCGCTGCGTCGCGAGCAAAGACGTAGTGCGGTCGTCCCTGTAAACGACAGAGAGTTCGATATATACTCCGTTTAACGTATGTGGCACGTACCAATACAGAGTGGCATGCGGCGCGAGCACATGGTGGCCGCGGCAGTTTACAACCTACACAGCGTGCCTTGACGTGAGCCTGGTATGCGATGCGGGCTCATGGCAGCCGCGGCATTCCCTAACCAACATACACGGTTCTCTGCATGAGGCGTGGACATACGGCGACCTCGGCCACTACATGAAGAGGACTCTCTCGAGTTGATGGGTGATACGACCTCGATGAGATCACAACCCAGCAGCACCTGGCACACGCCGCTTCCCGAGCAATCATCAATCTCGCGGCATCACTTGCTGCCAAGAGCTTATTGCTCCCGAGGCAATGGTGGAGAGGTGCGCACTAATGCTAATGCATGTATGTACTTACATGATAACGATCAGCGTTGCACCCAGACGATCCTCACACTGCTGTGACGCGCGATCCGGCTCGAAGGACCAGATGTTGGGCGGATGAATCAACTTCACTCGCCCTTGTGTCTTTTCAAAAGTCGGTTTATTCAATCCGGTACAAGTAGAGTATCAAGTAAAAGAACACTGTGTAGACAAGGCAAGACGTAGAAGAGAAAAAACCGGTGATGCCATGTTGACTCGTCAAAGACGACTGACTCCAGACGCGCCCACCGCCCGGAGAGCGCCACACATCCTGCTACCGCTAGAGACCTCTCCAAATGCAGGACGGGCAATTGGTTGGTGAGACCGGGCAATTCAAATACCGGCCAAGACAGTGGTCCGGACGGGGGTCAAACAAAGTTCAATCATCTGTCTGTTATTGCAAAAAAAAACACCAATTTCTTGTACCTTGTCTTCAGAGTGCGCTAGAGCATTCTTTTCTTATACAAATTCGTGATTTTTATGACAAATGCAATGACGTTTGTTCAGAAAAAAAGTATGCAAAATCGGCTGAGATATTTGCAATTGTCAAGTTGCAAAATGCAATTTTTAGTGGAAAAACGTCATAACTTATAAAAAAAATTTTTTTTCCATTTGTTATTATTACGAACATTAAATACAATGTCTTCATCAAAGTAAAATGTTGCCAAACTGACCATGAAGCTTGTAATATCAATTCAAAGTTTCACTTAAAAAAATTAATTAACTAAAAACTCACAATTATTTCGCAATTTTATAAATAGCTATTTCTTAAGCAACTTAATATCTATATTCCTTACGGTTTTCTACAAATTAACATGATATTTTTTATTATTTTACGTTAATCTGCAGTTATTCTGAATCAAAAATTTTTTACCGTACATTTTTGCCATAAATATGTTATTAACTCTTAACAATAGATTTAAAAAAGTAGCTTTTTAATAGGAAACTACACGACAAAGAGATTGGTGGTCAAAAAAATTCCTCTAAAAGCAATAGAAGAAGAGACATAAGCAACGTAACTTAATAAGAATTAGCGTTTTTTAGTAAATTTTTAATTAAATAAATAAAGCTGACTTTTGATTAGACGAAACTATTTTTTACATTTTCCAAGGAAAGTTTTGCAGGAGAATGACCAATTAATTTTTTACTGGAAAACATAAGACACATAAGACCGAAATATTCCTTGGGCCATGGATTCATGGTTTCTCACACCTACTAGTTTGTGTTCCCCACTCGTTACAAATAATTGCTTTGAAATCTTTCCACTTACACATACTGAGAGATGTCGTAGCAAATATCTTTTTTCAATAATTTGTACAGACAAAATATTCACTGTACTACACGATTTGAAAAATGGGTGGAGAAGTATTTCTTCAAAATTAAATAATTAATAACGTTCTGGGTTTTACCTTTTTGTATACAATACATACAAGCATTTATCATTTTAAACTATACTTACCGAAAAAAAAACTTTCTTGATAAGTTTTAAAAATATTTCTATGTTTGATTAAACAACTGTATTTTTACTAAAGTTCATTACTTTTTTCAATGTCTTAACAACAAATTTTCATCCAGTACAAAAGTGTTAATGAAATAACGTAGTTCTTACCAACTAAGTTATGAAACGGATGATCGTCGACAGGTTGATTTCCAGTGGAATGACTATTTGTCCAGTGCTCAAGGCAAATATTTAATCAACTTTTCCGAAAATTTTGGACCACGTTAAAAATTTACACATCTCTTAAAAAATTTTTTAGGCACCCGAAAAACAGAATCTCGGTGCGCCACAAGTGTCAGCTATATTATTAATTATTAATTTATTAAGTAACTCGTATTGTTATTCAGTGTTTTGCTTATATCTCATACTCTGTTACGCGTGCAAAAATCTTAGGACAAGCAAAATTGTTCGTAAGAAGATGATTTATTAAGATACAGTTTTTTTCAATAATGAGTTCTTTGTTAATAACGTTAAAATTACAAAAAGTTATGGAAAATTTAGTTTCAGCTTGATATAATTTATTTACTGTAAAATCAATTGTAGGTAGCTAATCTTTACCAAAGTATACAAATTAGTAGTTTTTCCGTAGACACATAAAATGCTTTTTGTCATATTGAAAAATCACGGAATTGCTTAAAATCATGGAAAATCTTATTTTAAGCTTTATGTTAACCAATTAATGTAAAACAAATTGTAAGTAGATAATCTGGACCAAACTGTAAAAAATAGTGGTTTTTTAGTAAGAAAATAAAATGCTTTCTGTCGCATTGTAAAGTATTACTTGGTTCTTGCTTTAATGACCTTTGAAATTAAAAATATCAAGTGGCACTATTGCAAAAGAAAAAATTTTTACATTGAGTCTAAAACACTCCATTTTGTATACTATTGAAACATAATACAACGAATTAAAAAAAGTGATTTTTTAAATTTTCAATTGCAAAAAAAATTTTGTAATTAAGCAAATGCAAACATTCCGCCTGTTTTCTTACACAGTTGAGTAAAATAAAACGCACTATTTTTTGTATTTAAAAAAAAAACATAAATTTTTAAATAACAATCGCTTAAAAACATGTGGCAAAGATAGTCAAGTTAAATCATCTCAAGTCTAAAAAATGCCAAGTCTTGCCATCTATCGTTAAAGTCAGACACTGCTCACACTGTTTACTTGTGCGCATCAACCACGTGCTCTCGGTCACTTTAACGCCAGCAGCCTTACCAGGTATATTACTATCAACGTGTGTTTGATAATTCTTTACTAAATTAATATCGATGAGTATCACCAAAATAAAAAGTTGCGTTATTTTTCCCGGAACTTGCAATCCCATTCATATCTATTCGTGCGACTCTGAGAGGTTGTGGGCAACCAGCACTGTGACTCTTTGAGCGTTTGCAACTGTTGCTGGGAGAGATTTCAGAGAAGGACACGTGTAAGTGTTTAATATTCATTCAGAGGTTCTTTGTTTGGAGTGTATAATTATTTTTTTTTTTTTACGTATGTGCCTACGTATGTGCCTCAAAGCTGTAATTGTGTAAATGTGGCCAGGCTGAGTATTTCATTATTAGTTACATACTGTTGATGGTCAACTTTTTGTAGTTCTTTGGTTTTACTGAGGAA